CTTGTCTTGTTTAAATCATCTCTCTAAATTTGGTTCCCTATCTCTTTAAATTTGGTTCCCTACACACTTGAAGACACTAAATTACAAATGGTAATTGTATAAGCAATTTGATTCTCAATCTCAATCTCAATCTCAATCTGATTCAGATACTTGTTTAAAGCTTAAGAATTCTTAAACACACAATTTCTGGCGTACTGAAACGTTGAGCAGAAATGTTTTGGTTTCTACAAATGCTGAAAGTGATAGAAAGATTCGTTGAAAAGTTGCGTACAAATCCCCCGATTAATTTCTAGCGAATTCTCTTGTCTTTTCCTTAAAATAAACATCATTCTGGCATAATTTCATATCCATTTTTTTCCAAATTCAAAAATTTCCCCAATTTTCGGAATCTTTTGTTAAGATTTGAGGATTTTGAATGATTTTTCTGCTTTTTAGAGTCTATTCCATTGTTTTTTGTTACAAAAGTCAGCTGTTCCATTAGAGCTAAGCATTTAAGCAAAAAAAAAAATGATTCTGTTCTAAAAAACTTACATTTAAAGATGATTCAACTTTAAATCTACTTTAAAATTTAATGTTGGTATTATATTTATTGTTTTTTTAAAGTTCTAAGTTCAAACTAAGTACCCGCCGATAACTTATGAACAGTTGTCTTCACATTCATTGATTCATTGCTCCACACTCACCCCCACGAGTTTTTCTCCGCATGACTCTTGTCCCCTGGACAATAAGCGAGCTAGAGATCGGTCATTTTACCTTATTTATGAGGTATTTTTAGCCTTTAAGCTCAGAGTAGGAACTTTGATGGGATTTAGAAGAGCCTTTGGGATTTAGAAGATCCCTGGTCTAACCCGGCTTTACTGTTAACTTGTCAGTTAACAAAAACGAATCCTGGCCTTTGGTTTGACCCACGAATCCTGGCCTGATAGGTTTGACCCATGAATCCTGGCCTGGTAGGTTTGACCCACGAATCCTGGCCTGGCAGGGTTTGACTCACAGACCCTTGAGCTAGGCCTAACCTAAACTTGCATTAAAACAATCCTGCCCTAACAACGGTCTTTCGTATTCCCAACTCTAATCTATTCTTTCTTCTTCTTCCTTTCTTTCTTTCTTCTTCTTTCTTCTTCTTTCTTCTTCTTTCTTTTCTTTCTTCTTCTTTCTTCTTCTTTCTTCTTCTTTCTTTCTTTCTTCTTCTTTCTTCCTTTCTTTCTTTCTTTCTTTTCTTTCTTTCTTCCTTCCTTCTTTCTACTTCCCCCTTGTCTTTCTATCTTTTTCTTGACAATTTAAAGTATTGAATAGCTTAGTGGTTAGAGCAATTGTCTGAAAAGCTTCAAAGTTCAATCCCTTCTCCGGAAATCCACCAATTTCAATTTATTATTACCTAGTCTGGTTATTTATTACCTTTTTATTACCTAGTATCGAAACAATCCTGCCCTGACACCGGTCTTTCATATTCTCAACTCAAATCCAAGACTTGCTTTAGTTTTCTCCAAGAAACTGGCCTTAGAATTTGCCTACCTAGACCCAAAGTGTTGTTATTAGAATGTTGTTATTGTCTTGTTGTTATTGCAAAATGTTGTTATTGTCTTGTTTCCGAAATAAATCGGAAACAAGACAAGGCTTGAATCTCTGACGCCAGAAGCCAGACCTGAACTTGACTCAAAATCTCTAAATCAATCCAACTTTTTCCCCTTTCAGCCATCACTACATCTTTCCCTACAACTTCTCAAATTTTCTAATGAAACGGCAAACTTCTAATGAAAAGGCAAACTTAGTGATTTAAAGTGTCCTTTTTCTCTGTCCAATTTTTCTCAATAACTCACCAAATCATTGAAAATCAATCAATTCCATGGACAGTAAGAAAAGAAACCAAAAAATTTGCAGCTTTTCAATCTATTCCACATATTTTTCTGTAATTTCCATTGTTCTTTCGTTTTTTTAAGACTTTTGAGATCAAATTTCATTTCTTTCTCCACCTCACAGATTTCCTATCAAAAAGCAATAAATTTGCCATTTTCTTCATTTATGACAAGTGTTCATTGAGAGAATTTTTTCATTTTTGATTTGGATTTGATTTTTAGGAATCGATTTTCGATTGTAATTCATTTTCTGCAAATGATTGACATGTGATCAGCTTGTCTTTTGTTTTACAACCCTAATCTTGTCTGGAGATCGATTTCTTCAATGTTTTCTAGCATGCCAATAAGAAACAGAACTGACAATGAACCAGAACTGACAATGGACCAAAACCAGAACCAGAACCAGAACCAAAACCAGAACCAGAACCAGAACCAGAACCAGAACCAGAACCAGAACTGACAATGCCAATAAGAAACCAGAACTGAGAATAAGCTAATCATAAGCATTAGATCAACATTGTTCAGAGAATTCAGCTCCTTTTCAAGAAATTGAGCCTGGAATCTATCTTGAGCTGGACGTAGAATCAAAGATTTTAGCTCCTGAGCTCCTAATGTTCAGTTAGATTCATATTTGAGAAGTTGATCTAATTTAAAGGCTTCAGACATCAAGGCTTCAAACAGGCTTCAGACAGGCTTCAAACAGGCTTCAAACAGGCTTCAAACAGGCTTCAAACAGGCTTCAAACTTGAGCCCTGACTGGGTCAAAGTTGGTTTGTGCCTGGCTACAGATCGGATTACAGCTCTTTTCAAAGTTGGCCTAACTTCGATCTGGATTCTAGTCTGGACTGGCTTCAACCCTAAACCTAACGAACCTAACGTCTTGGACCATTCAATAACTCAATAGCATTTAAATTCTTGAATCTAGTTACAAGGAATGGGGTGATCTCTTTCCTTTTTCCTTTTCTTTTCTTTCCCAGAGTTCTTACACTATAGACGAGTCTCCTTTTTGACTGGACACACCTCAATCTCTTTCCTTTTCTCAAAATCAAAAAGAAAACCTCGATATTGCTATTGTCTAGGCACCAAAACTTGCCTTTTCATATATTTTATTGATTTTTGATTGTCAAGAAGTAAAAATTTGTCAAAAAGTAGAACTTTGAAAATTTCTAAAACAAATATTTCCCCCATCTCAGACTAGAAACGCCTACACTTTTAATTTCCCTATTTTCTATGTATTTTCTGTTTTCTCGACTCTAAATCATTCTAAATAAGACGTAGAAAAAGAGCTGATAACCCGAAAAAGGACAAGGGTTATCAGCTCAACTGTCATGTATCGATACACGAAATTTCATGTATACGAGATTCTAAAACGTTTTTGCTTTTAATACTTTTTCAATGAATTCTTGAAAAAGTTTTTTGCTTTTTCTTGCCTTTATTGCTTTCTTTTTTTATTTTTCTGAAGCTGAAAAGTTAGATTTTTTTCAGATTTAGAAAGTAAAGTTGACTGTGTCTGTTCTTTAGTTTATTTTATAGAACTTTAAAAAAAAAACTTGAGACAAAGAATCAATCCGGCCACGACAGTCGGACAAAATTATGTTTCAAGCTTTAGAATCGTTTAAAACAGGAACGACCGATAAGCAAGTCAAGTTAGGTCCAGGTTAGGTCCAGTTTAGGTCCAAAAATTGGCGCAAATGGTACGAGTATGTGGTGCTAGCAAAAGCGCTGCGTTTTTTGCGTCAAAATCCTTTGCGCCAGTTTCATTAGCACCAAATTTACGCTTATGAAAATCACTTTGACAAATAACTTTAACAAATCATTTTAATAAATCACTTTTTCCTAACTTCTAATCAACTTTTTTTCATTTTTCTGCTTTAGAATTTTAATTTACATCGTTTTCAATTAGAAAACACGTTTAAATACCTAAATAGGCCTAAAAAAAGTCATTTTTCTGTCACCGATTGGGCTTTTTGCTCTTTTTTTAATCGATTTTATGCTGTTTTTATATCCGGTGAAGGCGTCAAAGTAGTTGTCGACGAGAAAAAGTAGTAAAAAAATAAAAATAAACAAATAGAGTTGGTAGGAAAGTGTCTTGAAAAGCGCAAATTTGGCACAAATGGTACGAGGCGAAAAAATTTGGCGCAAATGATACAAGGCGCGAATGATCCGAAGCGTAAAATATTTGGCGCTTTTGCTAGCACCTCCTAAGAACTTTTTTTGATCCCTAGAGCTTGTAAGCTAGCCAACCAGAAGCCAAGCACTCATTTGAGTCCATTTAATGTTTTAATGTTTTAATATTTAATGTTCAGTTGAAAAACTCAAAAATCTCATTGTTCCAATTACCGAGTCTGCAAGCTCAGATAGATTAAGCAGTAAAGTCATAGGGTAAGGTCTGACAAATGCTATGCTATGCTATGCTATGCCAGGCCAGAGCTAGCCACAATAAGCAAACTAGGCAAAGCTAGCGCAAGTTGTCGATTCTATTTCTATTTCTATGTCCTATTTCTATATCCTATTTCTATATTCTATTTCTTTGTTCTATTTCTATATCCTATTTCTATATTCTATTTCTTTGTTCTATTTCTATATCCTATTTCTATATCCTATTTCTGTTTCTAGAAAAACGTTCACCTCCAGGCTACCAAGACTTTAGCTCTAGATCCGGACAAATTTTTACCTGATTTTGACTTATTCAACTGTTCTATAGAAGAAACTGGACTCACTGTCCATTGCAAATTTTTCGAATCTTTAGCACAGAAAGGTTTTTTCACAAGGGTTTTCCTTATCAGCTCACCTTTTTTGTCTTTTTTCTCATTTTAGGCATGCCTTTCGGCTTAAGTTCCCATTTTTTCAAATAAAGGCAACACCTCTGCAAAAAGCTTTCAAAGATTGACTCATTTGAGTCAAGAAATTGAATATTTTACGTTTAAAAACTCAAAAATCTCATTTTTTAGCTGTAAAATGCTGAAAAAAACTTTTTTTCTGCTTATTTCGTAGTTGTTTCTTTGTTCTCTTCATTTTTATCCTCAAAAGTTTGTTGCTATTGGTGATGGACTTGTTTTTTCCTTCAGATTTTTATCGTTTTCAAAAAAATTTCATTTCTGTTTATCAATAATATTGAAATATTTTAGAAATTCGTGAAAAGAAATGGGTGGAACGGGTGCGGCGCCGAAAATCACCGGAAATCGCATTCCGATTGTGCCCGATGGAGGATGGGGATGGGTGGGTGTTATTAATTAAATATTAAATTGATTTAGACAGTCGACTCTCTCTATAACGGGAATCTATAGACTGGAAAACTCTATATAACGGAGTGAAATTTTGGTCCCGACCGACACTAAGCTAGATAAAACGGCACTCTATATAACGGAAACATTTTTTGGTCCCTTTCATCCCGTTAAAGAGAGAGTCGACTGTACTTACAATTAGCTATATAAAGTACGCATACGCTACATATTTAGCTTTATCACATTTTCATATCAAATATTAGAGCAACATGTTGAAGTTGTTATCAAAATTGGCTTTAAAACGTGCACCTTTGACTCAAAAAGATTCAGAAATGCCAAGGAAGCTAAATAAGTTAGCATTTCTATGTTCTATGTTAGCCAAATATTGTATAGAAAGTCTCTCGATAACGGGAATCTATATACCGGAAAACTATATAACGGAGTGAAATTTTGATCCCGACCGACGCTAAGCTATATAAAACGGCACTCTATATAACAGAAACATTTTTTGGTCCCTTCCATCCCGTTAAAGAGAGAGTCGACTGTACTTACAATTAGCTGTATAAAGTACGCAATTAACTAGTACGCATACGCTACACATTTAGCTTTATCACATTTTCATGTCAAATATTAGAGCAACACATTGAAGTTGCTATCAAAATTGGCTTTAAAACGTGCACCTTTGATTCAAAAAGATTCGGAAACGCCAAAGTAGCTAAATAAGTTAGCCAAAGCGAATAAGTTAGCATTTCTATGTTCTATGTTAGTCGAATATTGTATAGAAAGTTTTTTTGTTGATAAAAAGCATTTTTGAGCATATAGAGGATGCCAATATATAGTGTTGCGCTTTACAAAAAGATGATTTTCTCAAAAACCAAGAGTTTACAATTTTTTTTGTTTAGATATTTAAAATCTACGGACATTTTTTCACTAGATTCATGAGTTTGGGTAAAAATTTTAAACTTTATTCGTTTCCTATAAGACTTTAAACGTGAAAAAATTAAATTTGTCAAAATGTGTCGATTTTTGTTAGCTAAGATAAGCTCGCATTTGCAATAATGTAGCTCAAAAAGCCCTATTTTTATAGGAATTAAGTCTAAAAACGTATTAATGCAAAAAAAAGACGGAAAAAGATGATTTTTAGAGACCAAAAACTCGAATTTAACTTTTTTCAGCAGCTTACCGTTAGCATTTTTTGTACTGCTCGGCTAAGGTTGTCAAAGTCACTAAAAATGTTATTGTTCTTCTAGTCTATGTAAAATTACGCGTAGATTTTATGATTATTTTATTTAGGTTAATGTATTGTCTTAGAAAGTCAAAAAGATGAATTAAGCGCAACACTAGATATGCGGCATCCTGTAATGAGCACTTTGGGTAAAAAAAATCTTTCTCTAGGGTTCTGAAAGTAATAGCGGAGCTCAACGGGTGTATTAGAATCTAATCCGAGTTGGGTGGAGCTTCAAAAATCCGGCTCGGATCATTTCGGATCAAAAAAAGCTAGATTTGATCACTTCGGGTTTAATTTTGACAATTCCCGGTTTAAATTCAGATCTTGTGCTTATGCCTATTTCCAACCTGTATACTTAAGATTTAATCTTTAAGAATGGCGATATTTAGATGAAAAAAGATATGTACATAATGTTAATTATCAAATTTTATCTGTAATTAGCTATTCTATTACTAAAAATTGTTCAGATGGTCGTCCTCGGCTCTTTCCTTATCCACGTGATCGCTGACGGTTTCGTCTACTCGTTTGGTATTTTGGTGGACGTTTTGCAAAAGGTACTTTATAAAAAAACTAAAAACATTATCCAGATATTTAAATTTAAACATTAAATATCTAAATTTACATTCTAAATATGAAATTTTTCCAGGAATTCAAAACGGACAACGCGGCGGCGGCGCTGATCATTGCGTTGCTCACCGGACTCACGCTGGGTTCAGGTGAGAAAAATTAGCCTTTAAAATAGGATTCAAATAGGATTTTATATCCAAAATATTATAAGCTAGATAATTATAGATCTAAATATGTAGAATATTTGTAAATTCAGGCCCAATCGCGTCGGCGATCACGAACAAGTTCGGCTGTCGGATAGCGTCGATCATCGGCTCGTGTATCGCTTCGGTTGGGTGGGTTTTGACTTTAAGATATTGAAATATATTCAAATTTTTAAATCTAGAATAGATATTTAGCTAATAAGACTGAATAGCTCAGCTTTTGTTGAAAAATTAAAAGATTTTCGTTTCTTGGCTAACAACGAGGTCTTTTGGGTTATTGTAGCCATTCTTATTGTAGTAATTTGACATACTTTAAGATATAAACCTTTAAAATGCACACCTTTAGACCTTTCTTTTAGTTGCTTGGCCTCTTACTTCGCGACATCGATGGGTTTCATTACGTTCACCGTCGGAATCGTGATGGGAATCGGCTTTGGATTAATGTATTGTCCGGCGATTGTCATTGTGACGATGTACTTTGAGAAGTGAGTCTTGAAAATTTTAAACAGAACACATTGATAGTTGTAACATACATAAACCCATTCCACTAACTTGAAAAACTCCAGTTTTTCATATCTGACAGTCAGAGAAGCAACGCAGAGTTAATTTTCACCTATTCTCACTCTCAAAGTTTACCATTCGTTTTCAAACTCTATTTTACAGTAAGCCTCAAAATTTACCACTAGTAAACTCACCGCTTTTAAGCGAATCACTGACTCTAACAAGATTCTTAGCTCTCTAAAGGCATCACACTTTTCAGACGTCGCGCTTTGGCTACAGGAATCACAGTGTGTGGAGCGGGTGTTGGATCGGCTTTGTTCGGGCCGATTAATGAGAGAGTGATCAAATATTTTGGATGGAGAGCTGTTTTCTTGTCGTTTACTGGTAAGTCTCGTTTACTGGTTTAAAACATGGCAGGGACAGGTCAAGATCAGAATCAGATCTCTGATAGTAAGCCAAACCTAGTAGTCAGTCATGGAATGATTGGTTTTGGTCAACATCCCTGGCCAGTAAAGTAAAGTAAGGAATGCCAAAGAAAGGTTTTCGGAGAGGGGATTGAATCCTCGATCTGTTTTGCTTTCCGGGCAGATGCTATAACCACTGAGCTATCCTGTATCTTCTTGCCGGAGAATGAAGAGGAAATAGAAGAGAGAAGAGAAAGGAAGAAAGAGAAGGAAATACTTTATAATTAAACAATGATTTTTAAATTTCAGGAGTGATCCTTTTCTGTACTCTTTGTGGTGCCACTTTCCGTCCTCTTCAATTCATCAGCGCTGATGAGAAAGACGAAGAAGATGAGGAAGGAGAAGAGAAAAAAGGAGATGAGACAGAGCACACAAAGGTGAGAAAAAGGGTTTCTATGTACATCCCTATTGTATTATTTTTATCCTAAGTAGTACAGTACAGTACAGTATTACAGTTAGAAATGCCAAAAGAAGCTCAATAAATTTACATAGACTATTTTGACTCGATTTGTAGATGTTTTAGAGATTTAATATCTATCCGTTTCTTTAAATAGATTGTTTTAACTGTCCCTGTCGATTTGTTCGATTCAAATTTACTGTCAAGTCCAGTCAAAATCCCAAATAATTTTCTCCATCCACCCATTTAGCACGGAAAAGTTTCTCGAGCTGGAAATCTCCCATGGATCATGGTTTGTAGTCATAAATGAAAAAGATGTGTCGTGCAATAGCTTTTTCTTCTCGTTTTTAAACATTTTTCTGCAAGAATTTCGTTGTGTTGAGAAAAATTTGGTCATTAATTGCATGCCTTTGAATGCAGCAAAGAGCGAACTCGAACCAGCGTTTTCTGGAACGAGAGCCGAGCATGCTAACCAGTACACTAAATGGGAAATTGATTTCAGGAAGATGCGGCTCTTTTGACTCCAAACGATCCAAGGATCAGAACGCACTCGTCGAGCTCGTCGCAGATTGATCGAGTAAGTTGGAATCAAAAGTAGAGTAAGCAAAGATTTTGAGTTACTGTACTTTTAGCTTAGCTTCTTAGCTGTCTAAAGTTACTAGAGCTACTAGTTACAGTAGCCTTAGTAGTTATAGTAGCCCTGTTTTATTATTACTGCGGTCATTGCTGTAGTTTAGACAGCTGATAGTAAAAGACTATCCGAAATCGGAGACCAGATAATCTGGATCCGGATGAATGCTAATTTTATTTCCTATTTTTAAATGCTGCCACATTTAATTCAAATTTCCCTAACAGAGATCGAAATTTTGTCATTTTTCGCCCCTTTTATGCTCGGCAAGCAAAAGTTAAATGCAAATTGTGAAAAACGGCATTTTGCTGGGTATTTAAAGGTTTAAAAATTTGCTTATAAGTTTGAAAAAGTGGCAGTGAACTCAATGATTTAGAATCCGGATCCAGATCCAAATAATTCCGGATAATCTGGCCGGAAAATGTGAATAGTAAAATTCCGGTATTCAGCTAACAAACTGGGTATTTTAGAAAGAAATCCAGCCTGTTCAGCATACTTTATTCAGCATATTATGATAGTGTACTGTAGAGATTTGTAAATCGATCTAGTGCACCAGAAAGAGTGTGTTTACATTGAATACAAAGTATTGCTTTATTGTTCTCATTTTTAGACTGGAACCAACTCGGCGAAAGGCTCAAAACTCTCATTGCGAGCCGCCAATTCGATGGGTCAAGTGAACGGTGATGGATTGAGAGGGAGAAGCCGGTTGGTTATTTTTTTTTTTTTCTTTGAGAAAACGATTACATTTTTGCTTGGGAAACGGATTGGTAAAACAAAATACAATCAAAGATATTCAGCTAACAAGTTAAATATCAAAATTTTGACAAAGAAAAACAAATTTCGATATTCAGCTAACAAGTTGAATATCAAAATTTGACAAAGAAAAACAAATTTCGCTACTAATTCAAATGTTTACGGGTTGGTGTCGTTTTTTCAGCTCGGGTACGGTCACTTCGTCCACCGGGTATCTTCAGAAGAAAGACGTTTTCTATATGGGATCGATTCACAATGTTTCTGAGTTCAAAGAGAATCCCGATAAAGTTCGGTGAGGAAATGAAAATTTTAATTGACTTTCTTGCTTTTATTAACTAACATTACTAATATTCTGGATTTTTTTTTTGTTTTTGATCTGTCTTCGCACTCAGGTGTTCCTATTTTGCGCAGATCACAACTTGCTTTCACATTTCTCTATCCCTTGCTATTGTCATCCAGTGTTTCCTAGCTTGATTGTTCCTGGTTCGAAGTCTTCGACTTGCTGGTGCTGGTGGTGGTTGCACTCCAGCCATCCTTTCTCTGACCGTCTCTGTCACTCTTGTGCTCCACCTCGTTGCTGGTCTTCGGATGGGCCACTTCTGGTCTCGTGGTAGCCACTCTGTGATCGTCCATCTGTCGTCTGTTCTTCTGGCTACGTGGCCGGCCCATCCGAGTCTTTTTCTCTCAATCACTTCCACTGGATCTCTGAGTCCCGAGAGCTGGCGCATATCCGTACTTCTTAGGTCTTGGTCGAGCTGTTATGCCAGAGGAGGTTCCTTTCAAGGGCTCGATGCGTCGTTCTCAGGGCTCATTCAGTGGTCTGTGTCGTGGCCCAGATCTCTGTCCCGTAGCAGAGTGCCGGGAGGATGGTGCTGTCGAAGAGGTCTGCCCGAGTTCTCTGGTGATTCTTGAGTATCTTTGTGACTTCTTTGATGCTTCCTAGTGCTGTCCAGGCTGCTCGTCTTCTTCTGGCGATTTCTGGTCTTAGGTCTCCCTCCATGTTGCTGCTTCTTCCGAGGTAGGTGTAGGAGGTGACTTCTTCTAGTGGTTGACCTTCCAGCTTGATCTCTCCAGGTGGGCACCATGCGTTCCTCATGCTCTGAGTCTTTTTCTTGTTCATCTTGAGGCCAATTACTAACATTCTGGATACATTTTGATAACAGAAATCTTTAGATCAATCACCTCAATTCATCAGGCGGTCACGGAAGAGATGGCGTCAAGAGATGAGAATATTTTAGAGTCAGTTTGTTTTTCGCATAGTTCTTGTTTTGTAGATCTGACCTGAGGTGATCTGAGCTGATTCCAGACTTAAAATTTTGAGACCAAGTCATACCACAGCCTGTTAAAGCATGTTAGAGTTAAACTAAACCAAGCTATGAGTAAGGATGTTTCAATATACCTGGACTGACAGTGCTTAAACCAATTTTCCAAGCCAGCTCAGATTAGGCAAGGGCAAAGCTCAGCCAAAAATCAGGTCTAGCCCTAGTTTCTATTGAGCTTAGGGGATTTTTGGTGGGCGGGATCGGCTAAAGAATGTCATTTTACTGTTTTCATTTTCATTTTCATTTTCAGAGTGATCTCCCGTATGTTGAACCTTTCCCTTCTCACCGAGGTGCCCTTCCTTCTCTTTGCCATTTCCAATTTGATGACATCGGTCGGCTTCAATTCTCCTTTGTACTTCTTGCCGATTCATGGAGAGAAAGGCTTGGGACTCACATCGACGGATGCTGCGTTGGCCATCACGACTTTTGGTGGGTCTAGATGTAGATTACAAGATCTAGTTTTTCCGGTTAATTTATCGGAAATTTGATACACGTCCCGCCCACTTTACCATAAGCAATCTAACTTTAAGCTCAAATTTCTTGGGTGTTGGGCTGTTAAATTTAAAGAGTTTTTGCACCAATCGATAGAGAAAGACTTGGCGAATCCAATGAGATCAAGAATATTTAAATTCGACATCGCAACACCAAGAAATTTGAGCTTAAAGTTAGATTGTTAATGGGAAAAGGGGGCAGGGCGCGTATAAAAGGTCCGTCAAAGTGGCCCGCCCCTTTACTATTGGCAATCTAACTTTGAGCTGAAATATCTTGGTGTTGAGCTGTTCAACTTTAATAGTTTTTGTACCAATCAATAGAGAAAGACTTGACGATTCCAATGAAACCAAGAATATTTAAATTCGACATCCCAACACCAAGAAATTTGAGTTTAAAGTTAGATTGTTAATGGTAAAAGGGGCGGGGCGGGGCGCGTATAAAAGGTCTCACAGTGGCCCCGTCCCTTTTCCCATTGGCAAACTTGACTCAAACTTCCCCGGGGGGAGCGGTTCAAAATAAAAAGGTTTTTCCCCCAACCAAAAAGAAAAATTCTTGAAGAAACCAAAAAAAAAAAAAAAAAAAAAAAACCCAACCCAACAAAAAAAAATAAAAAAAAAATAAAAAATAGAAAAGGAAAAAAGGGTTTAAAAAAAAAAACCCAAAAACAAAAAAAGAAAAAATATAATTTAATAAAAAAATATATATTTACATCTTTTTAAAAAAAAAAAAAAAAAAAAAAAAAAAAAAAAACTTATCAAAACTAAAGAAAAATCTGTAACAAAAACGTTTCAGGAATCACAAACACAGCTGGTCGTTTGGTGTTTGGATTGATCGGTGATCGAGAGCTGCCATTGCCGTACGGATGGGGGAAAGATCCAGCCCGGAATCGCCTCTGGATCTATAACCTCTCATTGACGGTGAGTATTTTAGATCCTTGATTCGTTGGCCAAATTGATCCAAGAATGGGCCAAGTTGATCAACTGAAATCTACCAATTTGACTTTTCCAGTTCTGCGGAATTCTCACCGCTTGCTCGTACTTCTTCAACGGTTTCATTCAACTTTGCGTCTACGCGGGTCTTTTCGGGTTTAGGTCAGTGAAAAATTTGACTTTTTCAATGCTTAAACTACCGAGTTTCGGCGCAGATTAGTGTACTAAACAAATTTTCAGCATCTCCTCATACGTTTGCTTGACATCGGTGATCCTTGTCGATTTGTTGGGCTTGGAAAAGTTGACGAATGCTTTCGGATTGCTGCTTCTGTTCCAGGTAAATTTTCTACTTTCAACGATTTTCTAAAAATCACTTATTTTCGAAAACTATCGTACTCAAACCAGGCGCTTTTCATTTGATCAGTCAAATTTTGATATCAATTTGATGAGGGATCACAAAACTCAGTGAATGATGTGAAAATTTGGAGTGTTTGAATGAAAACCGGAAGCCAGAGTAAGATAATTTTCGAAAATAGAAAACATGGCTTTTAGGAAATGGATTAGTGAGAGAAGCACATCCTAAGCCTGCTTTCTCTTTTAGGTACTGTAGGAAGCATTATGAGTCTTCTAGGTACTGTAGAAAGCATTATGAGTCTTCTAGGTACTGTAGAAAGCATTATGAGCCTTCTAGGTACTGTAGAAAGCATTATGAGTCTTCTAGGTACTGTAGAAAGCATTATGAGTCTTCTAGGTACTTTAGAAAGCATTATAAGTCTTCTAGGTACTGTAGAAAGCCTACAGTGGTCCTAAAAGTCTAAACTATTCCATTTCCAGGGAATCGGCACCGTTTTCGGCCCACCAATCTCCGGGTATCTTGCTGATTTGACAGGCTCCTATCACCCAGCTTTCGTCTTTTGTGGAATCAATTTGGCTGTCTCTGGCTTAATGCTTTTCACCATTCCTTTTCTCAACAAACGAAAAGAGAATCAACAACAGAAAGAACAAGGAGTGAAGCCATTAGTCGATCACGGGAAACTCACCAATTTGGATTTGTAAGAATTGAGGATCTAAAAAAAAACACCTCTTTCTTTTAAACATTCCTTTCACTTTTCTTCTTTGATTATTTTGTGATTTTTCTCAATTTAAAAGCTAAATTTGGTATGAAACAAGTCAGTAATCTTTTTTTTAAACAAATAGGCAGTATTTCTAGGATTTAGTACTACTTGTTTCTTCCAAATTGATCGCTTTCTTCACTATTTAATTGTCAGAACACTACTAGTTGGAATAGCTCTTCCCCGTGTTTTTTTGATGGATATTTTGATATTTTTGGTTGAAATTATTGATTTTCTTGATTCTAATGACATATTCAAAGCTTAGCAATGGCCTTAAATACTATATAACCTTAGTATTATGATTTTAAAGCTAGACTAAAGAAAAGGAAAAGCAAAGGAAAGCAAAAAAAATTCAAGCCAAGCCTAGCGAATTGTCAAATTATCAAAATTATCAAAATTTCATGTTAAAATTGATCATTTTGTTATTGTTTTTTGTTTTCTTAAAGAATTATTATCTTATTGTTTGAATATCTTACAGTTTCTATTTGGTTTTTCTACGTGTTTTCCCATCCATTTCATCAAAAATGTGCCTCCTTGAATCGAAATGTACTTTGTGCTCACGTAAACGCACGCTTTCCCACGCAGCAGCACCAAACAGCTAAATTCTATATAAAATAAAGGAAAAGCTTAAAAAGCAGGGAATTCGATGCGCTAGAGGTTTCGCGTTTCTCTGTTAGCAAAAAGGAAATTTTCGATTTGCATTTTTCACTGTGCCTTTTTGACACAAAATTTTATCATTTTTTTTTGGTCAAATTTTCAAATTTTTCTATTTAAAACCTATCAAATATGTGATTTTCTTGATAATTTAACAAATTTACACGATTTTTTGATCTCTCAATCCCAATTATAGCTAGGTTTTTTTGAATTTGAAATTTTTTTTTTTTTTTTTTTGGTACAGGTTTCCTTCATTCCGATTGAAAAGTGGTAAAGAAATAAAAGATTTTTTTAAAAAAATGATAGAAAATAGGAAGTTTTCAATAGGATTTACATATAAAAAACATGTAATTTGAAGTATTTTTGTGAAAAAAAGCTTCCTCAAGGGACTTTTTTTAATCGTAAGCAAAAAATCGGGTACAGAAAATTTCACTAAAAATAAACGAGTTTTCAATTTTCGTTTTTCTAAATCAAACAGTTTTCCCTTTTAAAAACTAGAAGTTTTCTAAACGGTGCACAATTTGGAAAGCTTTCGACAATTTCCAGCTTCTTTTTTAAAGTCTTTCCGTTCATTTACAAGCAAAATAGAGTTCTTTGTGTGTTTTTTTCAAAAACCAAAGAAATGGGGGAATTCTCGAAAATTTATATACCAAAGCTTTTATGCTCTTCTTTATGTTCTGGTCTGGTTTCCTCGTGCAATTTTTAAATTATGGCGAGTGAATTGTCTCGAAAATCGGCCACAATTTACTTAGTACACTAAAATCTCAGTCAACCGTTCCCCTGATTTGGTCAAATGCCAAGTATGCGTATTCAAAGCTTGTTCAATGTGTAAAGAGGATTACTCGTAGTTACTCGACTAAAAAAGGCCGATTAATCGAGTAAAGAATCGAGTAAAGATTACTCATGCAAATCCAACTATTTTCAGATTTTTCGTCGATCTGGAGCGCACAATAGAGTTCTAAAATGAAAAACTAGAGAAAACTGATCATTTTACATCCGTACCGTACCCCGAACCGAGTACAAGGCCTTAAAGTGGTAATTCAATCCTAAAAATCTAAATATTTTCAAATTTTTTGTCGATCTGGAGCGCACGGCATTCAATCAACGGATACTGTTTTCTAAAGCGTGCTCCTTGGTGGATAAACTACCGTACCCCGAATCGAGTTCAAGGCTTTAAACTGTCAATTTTATCATAAAAATGCAAATTTTTTAATATTTTTCGTTGATCTGGAGGCCACTAGAATTCTAAAATATAAAACTAAGAAACTGATCATTTTGCATCCACCGCCTACCGTACCCCGAATCGAGTACAAGGCCTTAGACTGTCAATTTTATTATAAAATTCTAAAAATTGCGAAGAAGCGAAGAAAATTAAATTCGCCGCCGCCAAAAATGCAAAAAATACACACACACTTTCACAGGAATTATAGACCAGGAGGCAGGGGGTACTTCTTGCCTATCCCTGCTGCTGTCAATGAGTCAGGGGGGATAGTAATTTTCCCCCCTACGCCTCCCCTGTGCCACGGTGGAAGCCGGGGGGTCACTCGGCTAGGGTTTACCCCGGGAGCCGCGCCTTACCATGGTGTATCCTTCCAACCGACGCAAGCACGCCGCACCATGGGGTTTTTTCTTTTCCTTTTTTTTTTCCGGGCGGGGCCCCGCCCCCCCCGGGGGGGGGAAAAAAAAATTTTTTTTTATCCCCCCCCCCCCCCCCCCCTCCCCGGAGAGGGGGGGGGGGGGGGGGGGGGCGGGCCCCCCCCCCCCCCCCCCCCCCCCCGCCCTATAGGGGTAAGGGGGAAGGAGGAAGCGCATTACATACATTTGAACGTACATTTGAACAATTCTTCCTTCCATTTTGGCTTCAAACATCACCTGCCTCTTTTCTAATAATTCTATTTTTTACTCATTAGTACAGAAAATTTGACTAAAAATAAACGAGTTTTCAATTTTCGTTTGTTTGTTTTTGTTTGTCTTTGCACAAAGCAAAGAGGATAAAGCTACATAGTCGTGACCTTTTTCCGAGAAAATTCTCGGTTGGCGCTTTAAAGCGTGGTAAAACTACCGTACCCCTCGTAATTTGCGCGAAATTTCATTTTTTTTTTTCATTCTTGTCCATTTTATCTTTTACAAAGATGATAAAGCTAATTTACTTTTTTAACACCATTTTCTATCGCAGAAGCTTTGTTTGTAGAGTTTTTTAAGCCCATTTGTTTTCTGACGATCTACTTCACGAACTTGATGCTAACTAATATGAACTTAAGTGGTTTTGATCGTTTTCTATGGCGGAAGCTTTGTTGATAAAGTTTTTTTTAGATCCATTGGCTTCCTGACGATCTGCTTCACAAACTTGATGCCAACTAATGTTGGTTTAAGTGGTTTTTATCATTTTCTATCGCGGAAGCTTTGTTTTTGTGACTTTTTAGTTGAAAAAGCGTTGGAACATTGAAAAGAATTTTTTTTGGTACAGATTTCCTTCATTCCGATTGAAAAGTCGTAAAGATTTTTTTTTAAATAATAGAAAATAGGAAATTTTTAATAGGATTTACATCTAAAAAAACATGTAAATTGAAGTATTTTTGTGAAAGAAAAAAGCTTCCTCAAGGGACTATTTTTAATTGTAAGCAAAAAAATCGGGTCCAGAAAATTTCAGAACAGGAACAAATTCTAAAGGTTTAAATTCAGAAAACTGTCGATTTTTCAAAATTTTTTTTTTAAAATTGATTGCATTTTGTCAAATTTAGTTTGATTCAACGATTTTGATTGAATTTTCTGAATCTTAGCATTACTTTTAATCGTTTTTCTTACAAAATTACCTAATAAGGACTTAAAAATAATTAGACATCAAATCCCAGGTTCATTTGAACAATGTCTTTCAATCTAGGCTTAAAACGCTGCTTAAAACGTTTTTTTTTAGGCACAAATAGGCAGTATTTCTAGGATTTAGTACTACTTGTTTCTTCCAAATTGATTGCTTTCTTCACTAGTTGATTGTCAGAACACTACTAGTTCGGATAGCTCTTCCCCGTGTTTTTTTGGATGGATTTTGATGGAATTATTGATTTTCTTGATTCTAATGACATATTCAAAGCTTAACAAGATTCTTAAATACTTTAGAATTGCTATAACTTTAGAATTACTATTTTAAAGCTAGACTAAAGGAAAGGAAGGCAAAAAAAATTCAAGCCAAGCTTAGCGAATTGTCAAATGATCAAAATTTTCAAATTTCATGTCAAAATTGATCCTTTTTTTATTGTTTTTTGTTTTCTTAAAGAATTATTATCTTATTGCTTGAATATCTTTCTAGTTTTCTAGTTTTCTATTCGTTCTTTTACGTGTTTTCCCATCCATTTCATCAAAAATGTGCCTGCGTGAATCGAAGTGTACTTTGTGCTCACCGTAAACGCCGGCTTTCCCACGCAGCAGCAGCTAAATTCTATATAAAATAAAGGAAAAGCTTAAAAAGCAAAAAATTCGATGCGCTAGAAGTTTCGCGTTTCGTCTCTGTTAGCAAAAAGTAAATTTTCGATTTTCATTTTTCACTGTGCCTTTTTGAAACAAAATTTTATCATTTTTTTGTTAAATTTTCAAATTTTTCTTTTTAAAACCTATCAAATATGTGATTTTTCTTGATAATTTAAACAAATTTACATGATTTTTGATCTCTCAATCCCAATTATAGCTAGGTTTTTTGAATTTAAATTTTTTTTTTTTTTGGTACAGATTTCCTTCATTCCGATTGAAAAGTGGTAAAGAAATAAAAGAATTTTTTTAAAAAAATGATAGAAAATAGGAAGTTTTCAATAGGATTTACATATAAATAACATGTAATTTGAAGTATTTTTTGTGAAAAAAGCTTCCTCAAGGGACCTAATTTTAATTGTAAGCAAAAAATCGGGTACAGAAAATTTCACTAAAAATAAACGAGTTTTCAATTTTCGTTTTTCTAACAAAAAACATTTTTCCCTTTTAGAAACTAGAGGTTTTCTAAATGGTGCACAATTTGGAAAGCTTTCGACAATTTCCAGCTTCTTTTTTAAAGTCTTTCCGTTCATTTACAAGCATTTACAAGTTTTTTGGGACTCTCTTTCTCTTTTCCTCCATATCTCGACTTCCAATTGTCGAATCGACTTGCGGTTGATTTTAAAAGAATCCTCATTAAATTTGGTTATAGAAAACTACAATTCATTTTGTATAATCCAGTGTAAAAACATCGAGAAAATTTCGGTCAAAGTTGAACTTCCTACCTGGAAAAGTGAATCACCTCAAATGGTCTATAACGGTCTATAA